GATTTCAAAACTGTGAAGAAAACGTTGGATATTTCTGATTACTTTCTTATCTAGAAATTCCTTTTTCTACGCCACTTAAAAGAGAAACAAATAAATATAAAAGCAAACGCTAGAAAAACGCACACACCAAATCAAAAGCCAATTATCAAATATCTATATTTATATTATATAAGCTATTATAAAACTTATTAATAATGCATGAGCTATTACTCCAATACGGGCTGTCAATTTTATCAGGTGATTGACATTGCAAATCATCTGATACAACACTAGTGTTGTATCAGATTTACAACACGGTCGTCACCATTGAGACTATCCAACACTAGCAAAGGTCTCAGTTTTAGTATCGCATCATAGACCTTCACTAGTTTTTGAATCAATCAAAGAGAGATAACAGAACTCGCTTATGCAACAGATGGCTTGCTTTCCATGTGGGATGGATAATTATTCAAAATGTTCTCTGTTGCAGTAAAGTGCGCATGCTTAATAGCGACTAAATTCAGCAGTTACCTTGATTGTCATTTTYTGTCATTTATCTCACTGTAATTCATTTTAATTTGTGTTGGAGTTTTATAAGTCGTTTGCAACATTCGCGTCCGTGTTGTATGGGAATTACAATCTCTCGCCTGCGGCTCGAGATTGTAATTCCCATACAACACGGMCGCKMATGTTGTAAACTATACTTGTGCGATAAGCACTGAATCCCGGGTCYACATTTCGACTACAAATTTTCCATTCACATATATTTTTCATGTACATTTGACAACATGCAATGTTATTACACCTTGCAGTGAATGATTAACAAATTGTGGACGGTCTTGATTTTTATGTTCCGCTTGACCCCAAGGTCAGGGAAGGGAAAAAGGTCCTGGGAACTAACGAGGTTGAAATCTACTATTTAATATAGTTTAAACCGTAAGATAGCACGTATTGCTAAATATAGCCTCCATTTAGACTCACGATCATCCATTAATACAGTTGAAACATTGCATGTGTAGCAACGATTGCGTTAATAGTTTATAGATTTAACTTATTAGTCTTATTAGCTTGGAGTGTTACCAGACTGGTCAGCAAGCTGCACTTAACATTCACAGATTCACAGTTCTATCATCTGTTTCTCGGTGTTTRGATCCCCTGATGAAACACTCGCACTCGTTTTTGATCTATTACTTCACAGATTCACAGTTCTATCATCTAAAGATTACCGATAAGGTCATTAAGTAAGTCATAAGTCATTAAAATTTCGATAAGTTCTAGGTTGCGCCTGCAGTTCCATTGACGACAAAACTAACGATCAAAACATAGGCAAATTGTAGCTTTTCATTTTAAAATTGCACTTTGTTATTGACTTATTTTGCTATAGTCCATTTTTTAAATCCAAACAATCTATATTAAAATGATTATTGAGTTCCGTTTTTGTCATATCATCCAAGGTTTTGGCAAATGTATAATCATTCTTGCACTTCGCCCTCAATACACATGCCAAGATCTTGATTATTTCGGGTTTATAACGAAAACTCATCCTGGGAACGTTTTCTCCGCCGCCGCAAGCGTTTCCTACATTGTGGCCCAACAAACTTGTGAAGACCGGGTAAGTCAAAATAAATCAATAACACTGGGAAACCTCAGACGTTTACATACTATGTAAATCATGTGTAAATTGTTTGTAAATCGACTTTAAAATTTATTTTACAGGACCAAAGGTTTTTCACATACTATGTAAATTCCAAAAGACTTTGTAAATCATTTGTAAATTATTCCTCGTACTTAATGTAGATATTTTGTAAATGTGAAAAAAATGTTTGTAAAATACAATTTCCAAAATATTTACATAGTATGTAAAAGAGATTTTCCAATGTAATTCCATCCGAACACTGCGCAATGAAATCACTCATCGCAATAATCTTGTACGAATATTCGATTATTGTACGATGTAATACAAAGTATGGACAAATTTTGCAAGATGCGTCTGCATTTTTATAGTAAGGAAACTTAGTTGCCATTTTCTCTCGTCTTATTAAACCTCTTGAGCTTTCCTTTTAATATATTGGGAGATTTTTTATTACGTAATCTATATTCAAAATTTGACACAAATAGATTTTTTATGTTTCAAATGTCGCATACTGGATGTGTCATGCGCAGGACATTAGCAATCTTACATTAGTAGCTTGCCTTTGTGGATATGTACCTTGGCAATTTTCCGACATCATGTAAATCGCCCAATTTTGGTTATCATTAGCATTTTGTTGATATCTACGTTTTGTTTCGATTAGGGAACGTTAAAAACGTTATTGATGCATTTGTCTTGGTGCTGTTTTTTTATTATTATTGTTATTATTATGATTTTTTTTATATAGTAAAATATTTGTAACGTGCTAYTTTCACTAGTGAGGATAACATGTAATAAATATTTTATTTTAAATTCAATATACAAGAAAACTTTAACTCGTTTAGTCGTAGGACAGAAATAGATAAACATTCCCAAACAATTCATTCATATATAAATATATGATAAACAGAATATTACATGGTCGCTTGGAGATACGATATTCTCTTAACTCGTGAGAGATCTCWTTTCAATACTCAAAGATAAAAGTTCGTACCTCCGCGCGCCCATGTGGAAATTATTTTTGCTCATTTTAATTTTAATCATTTTACATATTATGTTATTATTTGTTTCTTTCTCATTGACCACCTTGATAGGTTTTGACCACCGCGAGGTCCCGTTGTACAAACAACATGATAGAGATTRTTGAATTTGTGTTTTTCAAGAAGCATTTTGTTGATATCTACGTTTTGTCTCGAGCAGGGGACGTTAAAACAGCCGATACGTTCATGGTGAGCTATTTTCTTTTCCTTATAGCTTTGTGCTAATTCTTCATGTTTTCAAAACGTATCCAATCATTAACTCCAGAAATTAGATAGATAGAGAAATGTATATTGTCTTGTAAATTAAAACACTGGCCATCCCATAGCCACCTGTTCTGGTCTGTGGCAAATATCACTGGGTTCCAGGACCACGCGAATACAACTCGTACATCGCTGTCGAAGCTCGTGGAAGCTTGTCAAAAACAAACATGAAAATACAACGCGCCTTGGGGTGATTTGAGCTCAAAAATAGCGATAAAAAAGACTAATCGCTGTTTTAATTCAAGGAAAAACGAATTTCATTCACATTTTCAAGTATAAGAGAAGAAAATATAAACAGACACAACAACAAGTAGAATAAATTCAAGATAAGTTTAATGGGATTTCAAACATTTGCGAGTTTTTCGCCGATTTACAACAATAAACAATAGATTTTCAAAACAAAGTTTGTTCTCTACAAAAAGAGACTAATTGAGCAATAACAACCAACGTATTCTTAAAGTTATCCTCCGTGGCTTAGGCTATATTTTTAGAGCTTAAGAACAACCAGTAAGAAATTATGAAGGTTTCGCTGCAAAGCTAACTCGAAAGAGTGACGAAATTACCGCCATTTTGCTAACAAATGCTGTACGGTTTATTTTGAATTTTGAAAAATGTTCATTGATTTGTTTAAAAAATAAATACATNTTGAATTTGTGTTTTTCAAGAAGCATTTTGTTGATATCTACGTTTTGTCTCGAGCAGGGGACGTTAAAACAGCCGATACGTTCATGGTGAGCTATTTTCTTTTCCTTATAGCTTTGTGCTAATTCTTCATGTTTTCAAAACGTATCCAATCATTAACTCCAGAAATTAGATAGATAGAGAAATGTATATTGTCTTGTAAATTAAAACACTGGCCATCCCATAGCCACCTGTTATGGAGCACCTATTGATGCATCTATCTTGGCTCTGKTACTTTTGAAATCAAATTCGTGAAATCGAGTTGAAAATTAGATAACACAAAAGTTCGAGATATAAGTGGATACATTCAACAAGAACAGGCAAGTGATTTGCAGCCGTCTTTTCGGTGGGTAAGATCATTGAATATTTTTTCTGCTGCCAGAACAGGCATTTTCTGACATATGTGACTTTTAAAATAACTCCTCATTGTTTTCGCTCATGATCGTATGCACAGAAGTYCGCATGCTGCTGATAATTTCTTACACCCAACAAAAACCTATGAAATTTGATAACAGTAGTGATAGTAGTAAACTAGTGTGAGCTGCGTCGGTGTTTCTAAAGAAAACAAGTGTGTGAAAATATAAATTTAGCACCGTAAAAAAGTAGGCAAAACAAGTTACTTTTTTAATCCGACAAAGAATTAACGCAGTCCTAAACGTCATTACGTTTTTTCACCTACTTTCTTAAAGTGTTAAAGTTATGCTTTCACACAACAGTTTAGAATGAATACCACTAAGAAATTCAGCACTTCAATTCGATGTGTCATTAATTTTGCATCAAGTGTTTTGAAGAGGCAGACTTTACGCCGATTAAAAGCAAAAAAAAAATGGATGTAATATGTCCAGTTGAGATCTTGAAAAGTTTATACATAAAAATGATTGAGAATAGTACTAGCAATGTTTCTTTAAGTGATAATGAAACTGCATGCATTCCATTTGATATTATTTTTTATAAAGCGTCTCAAAATAATAACAATAAATGTCGATTGATTGATTGGTTATAAAAAAAGAAAAAGGGAAAAAGCTTACATTTTATACTAAAACGAGCGTGTAMTTTCATTTCTCTTGCAGACGAATTGTCTGAAAGAAATAATGATCAAATAATAATTAAAAAAACATATGCCATAGCGACCTATAGCCGCTATTTAGTTAGACTTCTTGTATACAGAAGCATACATGATAATATGAAYGAGGCATCTACATTATATTAGCATTAAGCCGGTTGAGTTTTAGAAGTGGATGATTTGCTTTTGCTATTTCATTGTTTGCTCAATATGTCCAATATACCTGTGACAGCGGAAGCCGCAGTCACAATGTAAACATTTTTTTCTGTGTGCTTTTCGCTAACATATCATGCAAAGCATATCTACATTTATTGTGTCGAGTACTTTTACACAGCGCTACTGACAGCAAAATATTTGAGAACATCTTCTCCTGGTCGTTTTAGTAGAAGTAGGGTTTGGTCGGTTTTAATTCCGTACAAAAGCTAGAAAAAGAGGGTGTACACTGTCTTTGGTTAGTCTGCGGTATGGTATAAAAAAAGACTTTTTAAGGGATGGGATAGTGTCTGGGTTTTGAAAGCCTGTGGCACGCCCCTGTCGATATAAACGTTTCATTATATTAAATAAGTTTGTGARTGACGCCACTCAATCAACCATGTTAATCATCTTTTTTAAATGCAACTTGATTTCTCTGAGTCAACAATCCCAAAATACGGCCCAAAAACCGGCCCTGATTTGAGTTTATTACTGATTCACATTTAGTTCACCACAATTTAATTTGTA